CCTGGGCGCTGTCCCTCAGCTCTTCAGCTCAAGGCTAGCACTCTACCACTTGAGCCACAGCGCCACTTCCAGCTTTTTTCTTTTTGCTTATGTGGTGCTGAGGAATCGAACCCAGGGCCTCATGCATGCAAGGCAAGTGCTCTACCACTGAGCCACCTTCCCAGCCCCTCCCACTCTTTTAGTAAACCCCTTACCCTGCCTCCTCCCTAGGCAGCTATTACTGTTTATTTTGATCATTCACTTTGCAACCAAGTTCCTTAAAGAAGCCATTTAATATTGATTTCCCTACCTCTCCACCCTGCCATGTACTTCTTAGCTCTCTGCTTCCAGTTACCCTCCACAAGAATGTTTTCATCAAGGTTATCACTTATTCCCAACATCTGATACACATAGTTTGGTTATTTCAATGTGTCCACCTTCCTCAAACATCCATTTCTTGTTTTCTGTACATCATCCCCAGTTTTCTCCACCTCTTAGTAACTCTAGCTCTATGCCAATGACTTCTAAATTCATGCCTCTGCTAGTGATCTTTCTTTTGGGTTTGATTTGATTTTTTGCAAAACAAGGTAAGCTTAGGCTGGCCTTGAACTCACACTCCTCTTGCTCAGTCTCCTGAGTATTTGGATTATAAATGTGCACTACTATGCCTGGTTCAGACCTCTATTGAACTGAATGTTTGAATAATCAGCTGTATTTACTACCCAATAACCTAGCTACCCATTGTCCTTAACCTTTTCTTGATCTATAATCATTGTTGAAGTCCCATTAGATCTGCCTTCAGAAAGAACTATGTATCCACCCACATTTATCCACCCTTACTTCCCAATGATTTCTAATTACATTACTATCCAGTTCATAGAATTGGTTATCCACCCATCAATGATCTTTCTGAAGTAGAAATCCGCTTACTCTTTGCTATGCTTATAAACCTCAGGAACATTTCATTCCTTTCAGGATGAAGTTATAGCTCCTAGGAAAGTCATTTAGGTTTGACTCCTGGTTTTCTTCCTAGCCTCATCTCTCATCATTAACCACCAATGCCATGCTTTATGTTCCTGCACACACACATGATGCAGCCATACATGAGCAGTGAATCTGCCTTTATGTCTATCTCCAAGTCCTTGCCACCCAACACTTGTTTGGCTACTTGTTTATTGTCTTTCAGAATCCATTTACTTGAAATTGGCCTTGGGCCCTCCACTTCCCACTCAGGATGGGTTAAATACTTTTTCCTTTGAATCTTCTAGCTATTTGGGCTCTCAGGGAAAGTTGGTAAACTATGTTGAGATGTGAGTTTTCTTTTACTCATTTTTGTTGTTGTTTACAATACTGGGGATTAAACCAAGGGCCTCCCTCTTGCTAGACAATTGCTCTACCATTTGAGCCAAACCCCTAGCACTTACCTTGAGGTTTTTATGGGGAATACCTCCTAGCTCGCAGAGGAGCAGTTTTTGCTTCAGTCTTTCTGGAATGGTGGCAGAAAAGCCAACCCCGAGTTTCCCATGGAACAATAGTATCCCCAAAGAGGAGAACTTCTAAGAACCTGTCCTGACTCGGTACCAATAAGTAGGAAAGTATGTTGGGGCATGGAGAGAGTAGAGTCAATAAAATGTCCTCACAGAGGCTTGGAATCTTTATAGAGTGATTTGGCATAGCTAAGAAGTTGTCAGAGCGTATTCAAAATGACTCCATGGGGATTAGCTTCCATACAGGGTGAGGAAGACAAGATGGACAAAATAGCAAGTGACTGGGTTGGGAGCCAGGCTACACTCTGCTTGTATTTGATGAGCAGTAAATATGAAAACCTACTTTGTTCACCTCTAGATTTTTGAATCTGTAATAAGGTAATGGGGACAGAAGGTCATTTTCACAAGTAGGCAAGACTGAAAAGTTGTTGTTAGAAACAGCTATCTAGGGGAAAAATAAAGGCCCAGGGTATAAGATTGCTCCATAGGAAATGTACTCATTACCTTGCTCATGTAACTGTAACCCCTCTGTACAGTATCTTTACAATAAAAAATATATATTAAAAATAAAAAATGAAAGAAAAGTTTCCAGCTGGGTGCTGGTGGCTCGCCCCTGCAATCTTAGCTACTCAGAAGGCTGAGGAATCATGGTTCAAAGCCAGCCCAGGCAGGAAAGTCCAAGAGACTCATCTCCAGTTAACCACCAGAAAACGGGAAATGATGCTGTGGATCAAAGTGGTAGAGTGCTAGCCTTGAGCCAGAGCTCAGGGACAGTACCCAGGTCCTGAGTTCAAGCCCCATGACCAACAAAAAAAGGAAACTTTCTTTGAGGGGTCTTAGAAGCCAAATTCTGGCTGCCTAGGGTACAGAGAACTGTAGGCCTTGCCAGCTGAATTTGTCTTCCGGGAATGAAGCCAACATATTCCATGGCCCAAAGGCTGGGCAAAAAAGTTTCACTTAGGATCCTTACCTAATCTTCTTTAGGGGAGGGATTGGAACCCCTGGAGAGGATTAGGAGGGTTAAGACTGACAGAAGCTCCTGAATTAACTCCTTCTCACCTGAGTACTTGTCCTAATACTCTCCCCATCTCTTGTGCATAGCACCCCTCCTTTGCAAGCACTTTCAAAGGACAAAGTGAGACAACACAATTTGGGTTCTATGACTGAGGGAAGGTCTTTCTAGAAATGATGGAAATGATCACAGCCCTCTCTTGTCAATCAGCCTCATTTCTCCCAATACTATCCACTCAGTCAACCTCATTTCTCCCTAGATTTAACAGCCCTTTAGAGGAATATGATATACTTGCTCTCCACTCTACAAACTTCCTCTAACTTCCAACAGATCTCCTAGGTGGCAAAGATATTCCTTTGAGACCCTGCTTTCTAAGAAGTTTCTTCTTGGAACAATTCACCTTTCTATCTGCATCAGTTGATTGGTAACAGCTCAG